ATCTGGCCTCCAGGTCTCACTGTGTCTCTCCTTGTCTCTGGCCCAGGTGCCCCTGCACACACCTCACCATCTCCCATGGGGCTCCACTCACAGCAAAGATGCCAATTATGTATCCAGTCCCTCAATCCTTTGATGAGACAATAATGGGACTTACCTGGAACCCGGAGCTCCAGGGGATCACTGGGGAATGACCACACGTAGGGTGTGTTCCTGTAGCAGCCATAGCATCTGAACCTCCACCTGTGGCTGGGGGTCACGGGGCCCACAGGGAACATGGCCTGAAACTGCCCCCCGGGCTGTCTCTGTGAGTCCAGGGCCCAGGAGAGCCTGTGATCTCCTTCCTTAGTCAGACGGAACCTGCCAAATCCCTGCCCTGAGCCACACTGGAGGGTCACGTTCCCTCCTGAGGTCACGACACGGCTGGGCAGGGCTGAGAGGCTGGGTTTGCTGTAGGATCCTAGGAGAGGAGGAGGCAGCGTGTTAAATGGACTCACACCTCCCTCATGTCCCCCAGGGATGGCCTGTGAGAGGGAGACACCCTGACAGCGGACCCCCTTCCCAAGGGCAGAGCTTGAGGCTGGGACCCCTGAGTGTCTTCTCACCTATCGTCACCACCAGCTCCAGGGGGTCACTGCGCTCTGACCAGCCAGCAGGGATGAGATAGAGACAGCGATATATCCCTGTATCACGCTCTGTCATGTGTGTGATAGAGAAGTTGGCCTTGTCCCCGGGCTCCCGTGGCTTCTGTCTTTTCCATGGTGCTGGGCTTCCCTCTTTCTCCAGACGGTACTCCTCAGCCCGTGGGGTCCCCTGACACCAGATGGTCACGGGGCTCCCAGAAGGGATCACAGGGCCTGGCTCAGCCCAGAAGGTGGGTTTGGGGGCCTGTCGTCATCACCAGCTCCAGGGGGTCACTGCGCTCTGACCAGTTAGCAGGGCTGAGATAGAGACAGCGATATATCCCTGTATCACTCTCTGTCATGTAAGTGATGGAGAACTTGGCCTTGTCCCCAGGCTCCAGTGGCTTCTCTCTTTTCCATGATGATGGGCTTCCCTCTTTCTCCAGATCATACGTCACACCCCCTGTGGTCCCCTGACACCAGATAGTCACTGGGCTCCCCCAGGGGATCACAGGACCTGGCTCAGCCCAGAGGGTGGGCTTGGGGATGGGCCCTGGAAGGAATCAGAGGCTGGGTCACAGGACATTCCCACCCCTGATCCCAGCTCTCAGCCCTGAGCATTTCAGATGTCCTTCATCCATCAGCCTGGAACTACTGTTCTCCACCCCCAACTTCTCCTGTGGTGGCCCCAAGTCCTCTATGAGGAGTAGGACCTGGGAGACCTGGGGAGACTCACCTGCCTGCACCGGGGTCCTGAGGCCCACACTCAGCCCTGGAAGAGAGTCCCGGTGAGAAATCTGCTCTGAGCCCTGAGCAGCTCCCTTCTCCCCATGAGCCTCCTGAGTCCTGGGGTCCTGACAGACCAGGGCTCCCCTCCCCCTCCCATCTCACCGAGGCAGAGCAGGGCCGTGAGGGTGGGGGTCATGGCGTCTTCTCGATCCGGTCCCGAGTGTGTAGATGGAGCCCATGGCACTGTAAGTACAGACGCACAGGGTGTGGCCACTGAGAGGCTGGCCCTGCCGGTCTCATGGTTGTCACGGCGGCCACGTCAGCAGCCACAAGGAAGGGGAACAACGTCTTCCCGGCAGCCTGGCTGTGGCTTCTATGACGAATCAGGAAACAGACCCAGAGCCTTCTGAGACACCCCTTGCAGGTGAGGTGACCCAGGGCACGTCCTTCCCTGTCACAGCCTCCCCCACGGGGTCTCCTTCCTCCTCAGCCCATCCATCAGCACCTCCCTGTGGTCCTCACCATGGACAGTGTCGCCCGGGCCCTGAAGACGCTTCAGAAAGATGTGGGTCCCAACCGTGCAGCTCAGGGCGATGTCACCTGACAATGAGCTCAGAGGGGAATAAGAAAGGAAATGTCATTCTTCTCCTGGCTGCATTTATCTTTTTTTGTGGGTGGGCATTGGACTAGCCCTTTTTTTGCAACAGCATCTACCCCACCTTCCTGGAGAACAAGCCTCACTCATTGGTGCTCTTCATGCCTCGGACAGCATTCAATTCCTCATTCTGGGGTCCTGCATGTAACATTTAGGGGACTTTTTTGGGAGGTTAGAGGTTTATTTTTTAAGAAAAAGATGTCCTTTATGTAAATATTCGCCTCCCATCCCCTGCCTGTGTGCCCTGGACAATAGCATCTTATCTATAGGGTGTGTCCCCCAAATGTGTACACACACTTTGGATAATTATGAAGGCGGCGTTGATGAAAACACGTCCTCTCGTTTTCAGGATTGAGCCATCCGCTGTTGCAGTGTGAGTACTTTTGGGGGCAGACCCTGTGTTTCTGTCCTTGTTGGGGTCAGAGGGGATGCAGGTGGCCTGGTTCCTGGTTTGTGGGAGGAAACCAGTCCCTGTTCACGTTCAGGTCAGGTGACGACGTGAGGGGGCCGTGGTGTCAGGCCCTGCGGTGAAGACAAATGCTCGTAGCAGCCACGCCAGCACTCTTGTCTGCTTTGCAGACCAATAAATGCCACTGATAATGTTTCTTGTTTTAAATACGTTTTTATTGATTTCAGAAAGGAACGGAGAGGGAGAGGGAAAGGGAGAGGGAGAGAGAGAGAGAGCGAGATAGAGAGAGAAACATCCATGATGAGAGAGAATCATGGATCGGCTGCCTCCTGCCCGCCCCACATTGGGGATCGAACCCACAACCCAGGCATGTGCCCTTAACCGGAATAGAACCATAGCCTCCTAGTTCATAGGTCGATGTTCAACCACTGAGCCATGCATGCTGGGCCACTGATAATATTTCTGAAATACACGGTGTCCCCCCAAAATGCACGCACACTGTACCAGCTGATAGCTCCCTTTTGAAAATGAAATGTATTACATAGCCTCCTAGTTCATAGGTCGATGTTCAACCACTGAGCCACACTTGCTGGGCCACTGATAATATTTCTGAAATACAGGGTGTCCCCCCCAAATGCATACACACTGTACCGGCTGATAGCTCCCTTTTGAAAATGAAATGTATTTTAGCATAGCCAATTTGGCTCAGTGGATAGAGCGTCGGCCTGCAGATGGAAGGGCCCCGGGTTCAAGTCTAGTCAAGGGCTCATGCCTGGGTTTCGGGCTTGATCCCTAGTGGGGGGCATGCAGGAGGCAGCTGATCCATGATTCTCTCTCATCATGGATGTTTCTATCTCTCTCCCTTCTCCCTTCCTCTCTGTAATCATTAAAAATATATTTTTAGAAAGAAATGCATTTTCATAAACACTGCCTTCATCATGATTCCAAGTGTGTGTATACGTTTCTGGGGACACCCTCCAAGTAGAGACAGTCATTTTCAGAAAAAGAGAAATGAAAGTTCTCCAAACAGACAGGAAACCACAAGAAAGAATGGACAGTGAGGAGCAGCTGGTGCCCGGAACCAGCAGCGGGTTGTCGATGGAGGTTCCCACTCACGCGGACACAGAGAGAGGCCCCAGGTTCTCACAGGAAGAGAGGGGGAGCCGGGGCCTCGGGGAAGGTTGGAAGCTGTGGTGCCCCCTACTTGTGTTTGTGGGTGGGCGCTGGGCTAGCTCTGCTCACTGACACCCCCTCCATGGTCAGCCCTGAGTCACCTCCCCCGTGTGTGTGTGAGAAACAGACTGATTGCCGCTTTTGTGTGACCCGAGTGTGGGTCCCACAGGTGAGCAGAGGCCAGTGCTCACCATTCCCGCCTCGCCCAGCCCCGAGCAGGTGCTAGGTCTGAAAGGGTGGGTGCCAAGGATCGGGGGAGGCTGCATGATCCCCAACCCCACACACGCTGTCAGCCTGACTCCCAGGTGAGTCTCGGAGAAGCCTGCGGAAGGTCAGGTGTGCGAGGGAAGAGCCTGCCAACAAGAACGGATGCCCCGGGAGGTAAGCCAGCCAGAGTGATCACGTGATCTCACTTCCATGTGGGATCTCATGGGCAAAATAGATAGACAGACAAAATAGGTCCAGAGACATGGCAGCACAGGACAGACGGACAGATCT